GGGCGGCAGTGTAGCAACGCGGATGCGAGGAGCCTGCGGGCGGCGAAAGCGGAGAAGCGGAGGCGGAGGCACCTCGGGAGGAGAGAATGGGAAAAAAATTGGAGCTGCCGGCCCGCTGAGGAATCTCAGCGACAACGACTGTTCCACATGTGGAGTCTGGCTTCGACAGTCAGGCTCTAGGGTTTGAAAATAGCGAAACAGCAACGCAGTGTGTGTAATGCAAGTGTAATAGACGACCCTAATAGATTTGAAGGAGGATGTCCCAAAACAAGGCCACTGGCGTATTTTTAAGGATCGAGAACGCACTGTTTTCATGTAGGAAACAAATGTAACCTTAGGAACTTTTCAACAAATAACATGTATACTAGATATAAAATCCATCATCTTGGCACTTTCAATATGTAATTGTTTCACGGTGAAGGTCGTGTTGAAAGGGCATATTTATTTTTCTTTATAAAGAAACAGAAGCGAATTCGTCCTTCTTCTCATTTTGTAACTAGGTCCTAGTTCCTCGTAAAGCAGTTCTCTTTAGTATGGCCTTTAGATCAATAGATGGTTTGGATCGCCAATTAATTTTTGCCTAAACTTATTATTCATTTTTCAGCCAACACGTAGAAATTTGTGTTGAGCTATAAATAATCATGTGTATACTGGTGGATATAATCAAGTACCCTTATTATGTATATTGTTAAGAACGTTGTTTTGTGTTGTAATGGTGTTGAGGCTGACCTTTGACGTGTTGTGCGGCAGCGCCAACGCGCAGATGGACAACGACGTGACGCCCGTGTACCTGGCGGCGCAGGAGGGCCACCTGGACGTGCTGCGCTTCCTGGTGGTGGAGGCGGGCGGCTCGCTGTACGTGCGCGCGCGCGACGGCATGGCCCCCGTGCACGCCGCTGCGCAGATGGGCTGCCTCGCCTGCCTCAAGTGGATGGTGAGCGCTCCTCTCCTCTCAGCACTAAACGGAACGGAACGGAACAGGACGGGACGGGGTTCAGAGCACGAGCGCTATTTAAGACGACTATTCCACCAGTGAAATGATCTCCAACAGACTTCCAAAATATTGAAAATAACTTAGAGCCATCTTAAAATTACATGTTACACTGCTATCAATGTAGTATACCGCAGGATAGATGAGTCCCAGCGTGGCCAATAGGGGGAAACGTTAAGAAAAATCGCATAGAAAAAGCAATAAACTTTTGGAAATTCTCCGCCCTAATTAGGGCATTTTCTATGCATAGTTAAACACTATTGGTTTTATTTTCACGAGTGGAATAGTCTGAAAAAACGCTCCAATTTTGTTTTTTTATATTTTCTCATCGTATGTACCAAAGGACGTTAAATAAAATTGATTCCAGTCTCTGTTTCGGTAAATTACCTGAATTTTCGAAAATTGCAAAAATCGATAATTGGATAATAGAGATTTTGCCATAGGCAATGCTCCTTCTAAAAAATCAACTCTTTTTAGAAATTGTCATGTATATTTTCTTGAAAAGTGAGTAGTTTTTGCGTAATTTGTTCCTAAAATTAATGCATTTTTTTAAATCTCGTAAAAATGCTCCAAATTGTTTTTCAAATGTTTCCCGGTTAGATCAAGGAACCCTTAAAATAATGTCTCAGAGCTCATTTTCAGCGATCACTCTAAATATTCTAAAATGACAAATTTAGAAATAAAGCGAGAAATTATGTGCTATTGCATCGCCACTACTTTTTTATGTTAATTTACTGAGTGTATACAGACGTCTTCGGATATAGTGAACTCGGATATAGTGAACCTAGTAATAGTAGTTTTAGTAACTTAAGTCACTGGTCGTGTATCACTTACATTACAATTAAGCACAGGAAGACTCGGTTAAAGTGAACGTGAACCTAGCCTGCAGTGAACGGAAGGAAATACAACGTCCTAGAAATTAATTCTCTCCTGAGAAAGAATACATCGCTTTAGTACCACAAATTCCAACATCAAAAAATATCGTCGGCCAAAAGATCGTAATCGAACAAACAAAGAAATTTTCAGTTCGTACTGGTATTTTATTTTGATGTACTGTTATGTATTTCTGTATTTTGCTGTTGCTGCATATTAATAAAATCAATCGTTATAGAGAAATTCTATTTAACTGGGACATCCTCGGATATAGCGAATCTGATATAGGGAACCAAAAATGTTACTCCCCAGACGTTCACCATCACTGGAGTCCACTGTATCTGGAGTAATCCTGCGTTAAGTTTCTTATCTCGTAACGTCACAGTCAGTGCCTTACAGACGTTTCTGGTGAGGCTAATGCCGCGATCATTAGTCCTTCGAATGCGGCGATTGGTTTATTCGGGAGATGGCGGGGTTCCTTTCTGGCGATACTTTACACGAAGCATCAGAAGCATTTTTTTTTAAATATTCTCAAAAATAGGTCCAAATTTTTTGATTAAATATTGTCGTCGGGTAGCGTAAAGAACGCTTAAGAAATGACACGTGCCTCGTTGTGGTTGAAATCTTTGAATTTTCTAAAACTGCGGAAGTTCAACATTGTATTTATTATTGAAGATAGAAGTATTTTATTAATAAAAACTTATTCGTGGGGAGATCTTTTTTAAGATACACTACACTTATGAGAATAATAACTTTAGCATTTGGCGCGCTTGGAAACATTAATCAATCAATCAATCAATCAATGGAAAAAGAGGTTGTGTGGGCCGATGTGCTTCCTCGTTTTATTCACTTGGATGGTGAGCGCTCCCTTGCAGTTGATGTTGCAGGATCTTCGCGTTGCGTTTCAAGTGGGCACTCGCTCCTCTCAACGCACCGTACTTGATTAGAATTTAAACCAGATGATGTTCTCGACGCGAAGTATACAACTGTAAAACGGTTTAAAGAGACCACACTAATAATACGCAGCTTTTTGGTAAAATATATATTAGAAAATAATCTGGGAACAACTAAATGAGCAGCTTGCATACGTCATACTGTGGTTCGGAGCCTTTCCGAAGCATCCGGCATCTGCCTGCCATTCCACTTCGCGGTGAGTTTTCAGCGTAGAAGGGCGTTGAAGGGCGTAGAAGGGCGTTCGCAAGGCCCGCGCAACGAAGCGAGGGTGGCGAGAAAGGAAAGCCTTCAGCCACACCGCCCCGTCAATGAGCGCCAGCTCCGGTTCATCTCTCCGATTCACCGGTTCCGTTCAGGAGCCATTGGCGGCGATTCGTTCCCATGCCGCTGGTCACGCCGGCTCCTCCTGTTCACTGATGCTAACGGTTCAGCCAATTCAATCGGTTACTTCCGGTCGCGGCTCTAATGGACAATACTGCAAAACCAGCTTGCTCGGTACTAATACTACGCGAATAATGAGAACAAGAAGAAAGGAAGGACTTTGTCGGGAACAAATTGCGTCAAGTTGAAAATTCAGCGACGAATTCTCTCTTCTTTCATTGTTACGTAATACATTTAAAATTATTTATCTATGGACTTACTAAAGTGTCTGTGTCTGGGTAGAATCTCTTTCCACAATCTGCCCGCATTCGACTCGCAAGCGACAATGGCACGATTTTCTTGGAACAAAACCTACACTCGTAACACTTAGATTTCTCGACTCCTTTCTCGACCAAGAAAAGTTCTCGAGACATATCGTTAATCATCACCTTAAATCAATGAGAATTTTGAGAGTTCTTCAGAGCTGGACTATAGGTCTCTGTAGTCAAAGTGATAACCAACATTGTTAATCTTAATCACATAGCAGATGGTATCTATAATTAAACGTAGTTTTAGTGTTTTATAGTCTCCAATTTTACCTGAAGTAATCATACCTCTTTCCCTCATTTTAAGTCAGGAACATAAACTTCGAAAACCAACTAGTGGCGAGAACAATTTGAACAATTTTAATTTTGTGAGAGCTGTTCGTAGTATTTCGAGTCAGCGAGCGGGCATGGTATGAGTGTATGCCTCAGTGCCATTTGATAAACAAATTAGTTCTGTTTGAAAGATGTGGAACGACCATCAGTGATCAAAACTGGTGTTTTTGACTTTAAACACATTTCAAAAAACATTCAATTATTTTATCATCGGTATAAATTTTGCAGTGATCGAAATGCACGTATATGAGGCTAAACAATTTACTAACAGAGCAGAGTAAAGGAACAATTACGACCCAAAAGAGTAGTACCGCGAAATAAGAAAAAAATAAACTCCTACCGCTCCCTGTCTTAGAGATTACATAAAAGAATTGTTGAAGAATACGCAAATCTCTCTCAAGTGATTCTCATAAGTCTCTTTTCATTAAGTAAGAAATCCTACTATTTCCTTGCCTCTTCATTTACAAATCAATGTTTTTTGTCAGAAAATTACTGAAGGGTGGAAATATATTTTTACTGAATACCGATGTCTATAACTATAACGCTCAATGAAGTAAACATATTCAGTAGATATCAGTATCAGCAGTTCACTACCCAAAACGCACGTGTAATACATACACATTATTTTACCACTCATTGCCAGATGACATTGACGGACTACAACCGATACACAAGTTGTGCGAAGTAAAATATTGTATGCATCATAACTGTTTCTATACAATCAGAGGCTGTACCGAGCATTTAGAAGGAAACTAATATTGATGGAACAATGCTATTTAATGAATTAGTTACTATCGGGACTGTATAATTTAAAAGAAAACTAAACAGGTCTGAATCAAGTATTTTACGTAAGCTTCTGGATCAATGCTCTGCATCCCAATCAGATTATTTTGGGAAGTGTCCCTGATCCTTTGGGCGAATGCTTATATAACTTCTGGTTTTACTTCAGGACATTGTAATGGATAGACAATGTAACTTCTCTATATGTGCACATTTTCAAGAGTTCAGCGAGTATACAGTTATTCAAATCATCGTTCTCCATGTCCTCACGACAGTCAGTCAATTCCCTCATGAAGGGCACGATGAGGAATAATAGCCAAAATTTATAACAGTTTTCCTTTACAAATTGTTTTCATTACTCACAAATTTATATTTTCTTATCAATTTTCGTCCAAAACGTTCGTTTCTACGAACTTTCATAGTTCAACTTGTACATGGGTTGAGATCCAGAATTTAGGAAAACTTGCACAGTATACTCTTCTCCCTGTAGTATTCACACACCGTTTTTAACTGTATTTTTACGTTATAATGTATGAGAAAGTAATCAAAGTTGCAATAACGGCCCATTAACAATCGCTGCAAGAAAATAGCAGTCTTCCTTTCAAGTCCGAAAGTGGTAATTCGGTAATTGCGCATTAGACGCGTTTCATCTTTCTTTTGTCCAACGGCATCTGGCTCTCCGCTCGGATCCTATCCGGCTCGCGCACACTGCCCTGCTTGCGTCTTCCTCCGCACTTTCGCCGGGGCGCTGGCATCGCTTCCGGTCGCGCTCTACTTCCTGTGGGGCCGTCGCTGCCCTCCTTCGCCCTGTCGCCTTCATCTCTTTCGTCTTTTTCTTCTTCGCTTTCTTCTGGCAATTGGATTTCAGCCTCCGCGGTACTTCCATCAAATCGCTCAACTGAGTCTTCGTGTGATCTCGGGATGGTTCGTGTACAAGCACAGAACAAATAACGTTTTTAGACAACCGCTGGTAAAAGTGGTTCATGAACATCGTCATAAAAGTGCAAGACGATACTCAAGCGTTCAGATATGTCTGTGAATAATTTAGTAAGCAAAACAAAATGTTTCTATCTGGCCGCAATAGCTGCTGCTTACCTTAATTTATCATGAAGTGATATTTATTGTTGAATAAAAATTAAATGAAAGCCAGTAAGGCTGTCTAAAGAATAGTGTGTGGCACACGTGGTAAAAGTGATTTTATTTTGCTCGTAGGTTAACACCACTAGTCCTATCGGCATCGTGAGGCAGCCTTTCCTACTCGGAATAAAATGTTATATCCAGCCACGTTTACGGTTCATAAATAAAGATAAATTTAAA